TACGAGCTTTTTCTCACGTCATAACACATGCTCGTGATGGAATTGTATGTTTGGGTGCTCCGGAGCTTGAGATCACTGAGGTTGGTACTGCGCCATTAAAGGGTGTTGATACATCAATGACAACTATTGAGGTTGCTAGTACTGCTGGTACCATTTTTCTCACGTCATAACACATGCTCGTGATGGAATTGTATGTTTGGGTGCTCCGGAGCTTGAGATCACTGAGATTGGTATTGCACCATTAAAGGGTGTTGATACATCAGTGACAACTATTGAGGTTGCTAGTACTGCTGGTACCATGATGTAGGAGGATGGAGCTGATATAGTTGAGATGTCACCACTTTTTGCAGCTAGTGTAGGTTGAAAATAATTATGCTTCACTTGACCCTTTATGTGATGTGTCTAAAATTGTCCTTCGTTTGACTTTTGTCACTTATTCTTGTGATGAGACTTAGAATTATTTCCCTAAGTATTTGTCACGTATGGTTGATCTTGTACTTTAAGGGGATAATCCTTAGCCTTATGGTTGGTACCATAATAGCTGAAGTATTTCATGGCAATAGAGTTACTAGTCCTAGAATGTTATTTCCCATAATGAACACATCATGGGTTTGTTTTTTACCTATGCGCCTATGATTATGATTTTGCTTATTTTGAAAACTTCAACGCTCGTGTATCTAAATTCTTCCACTTCCCAACACATTTTTCCTCACAGACATTGATCCTAATCTTTGCATGAATAGCTTGGTCCACCAACACTCTGTAATTCATACACTTGACAACATATAGGACCTCTGAAAATCCTCTCTCAAGCCAACAAGTAGGTGGTAGATCTTCTAATCTTCATGTTGATTAATCAAAGCAATGAAATGGATGATCCTATCAAACTGTGTCTCATTCTAAATGGACCGCATTCCTTCTTCTAGTTTGCTTAAGTTGTTCATGATCTTATCCCGATTCGCTATAGAAAAACACCACTCTAGGAACAAACTCTCTAAATCCACCTAAGAAATTTCTGTGTCTGGTCCAAAAGTGTTGTGATGGTTACTCTCCCACCAATCATCAGCTCCTTCATGTAGTTAGAATATTGCAATGTCCACCTTACATTCTTCAGGTTACTTATTCCTTAAAGCCTCTTCTCGATATCATGGAGCCATGCATCAGAATTGATCGGGTTCACCGTGTCATTGAAGGTAGGAGGATATGTCTTTAAAAACTAGTCCATCACTCAATCCATGGCACTCACATTGATCATCGTCATTGGTTGATTAGGTTTGCCATTACTGATACTGGTTAAGTGGTTAGTAGTTCTAGTTGCACGACTTGCTGAATAGCTCGGGTCGTTGTGTAATTTGAGCTACAAAAATAGCTTGTAGTGTTTGGCTTACATTCTAGGTCACAACCTCCACGAGAGTTATCATGTTGAGATTCATTGATCTAATAGTTTTGGTGGGTTGAGCAGGATCAACAGGATGCTGGTTAGGGAAGCAGAGACCCCTCGGAACAAGCACATCATTAATAATACTGCTCTAGACTTCTTTTTCACTAGCAATTACGCACCCCCAACACGCCCAATATATCGAGCTATGGTTTTTCTTGGGCTTTGTTAATTTACATTTTAATATAACTTGTTTGAACTATTATATACTCCTCTACTAAAAGATATTTAAGTTGTCAGCGATGAAGTCTCATGAACACATTTTGCCTATAATCTGTTGGTAGGTACTTGAACTGCATCTCCCTTTTAATTTTGGATCATGTAGTGATTTTGCCTTTTTCCTCACACTTGTGTAGGCGCTTCAAATTTTCCCACTACAAAGAAACTTTTTTTTAACTTGATGGCAACAAGTTTTATTCTTTTGTCAAGCGAGACATTTTTGTACTAAAAAATATATTCCACTGTCTAGAGCCACTTGATGAACTCGTCCAGATTCATTCGATCGTCAATATTTGGTAAATCCACATTTACTTAAAAATCACCCTCTTCTATACCCTCATAGCCGAATTGATGTGTCATCGACACTTCATCACTTTCACTTTCTTGATGGTAAGGGTTTTCTTCATCTGCTTCATCTGGATGACTCAAGCGGCTCGAATTATGAAAATGGTTGTTTGGTGCAAAGGTCCCGCTTCTTTGCCCCCTTCTTGGGATCGTAGGATTCACCGACGTGCCCTCCGTTTCCGTTTCGGCGGAGAAAGGCTCCAACATAACCCGAAGCTCGAAGGAATCTTCAGTCAACGAGGACGAGCTTGATGGGAGGGCCAGAACATTGGCAACCCCTACTTAATCCTAAGAAGATAAGGGATATGAAATGTCAAGGCAATGAATGTTAAATACAAAATATAGGCTTTGATACCACTCTGTCACACCCTGGGTCTAAAAGACGGTGCATCCCTACAACACGGGGCATAATGAAATGAATTGAACTTGGTTTTTATTTTTAAAGAAAAGATTATATGCAAATAATAATAGGAGTAACCAATAGATATAAATTTTATTTCATAATGAATAGTTCGTTGATACAACTGAAAAAGAAAGTAAAAGAACTACCCTAATCAAAACTAAAATTAAAATAAGAAATAACTACTCGAACCCCAAAAGAAAAAATACAATAACTAAAGCAAATACTGAAATTAACCAAAATAGCAAATCTAAAATTGTCAAATATGCTCTGTTGGTGGCAGTCCTGCTGGTGATTGAATTGAACATGTCATGTAAGAAGTGAAGGAGTGAGTTGACAAACAAACCCAATAAATAGTAACTAATTATTAAAGCATAAAAGTTGAGAAATGGGGCATACAATATGAATAATAAATAAATATGATTACTCTATGCATATATAACATCATAAAACAACAAAATAGTGGTAACCATCATAAGAATTAATCGTTTCAAATCAAGTTTATTATTATTCAGTTTTTTTCATTATTTATATTTATAGAATCAGTTTAACTGACACCCTGAAACTGAGAAGATCAATACCAGCTCATTGAAACCCGATGAATTCCTATAGAGTCTTCACTCTATGGGCTCGTCGGCCCGGTTATCCAAAAGGGATCTACCGACATGTCATCACACAAGCATACCAAATTTTCCACGGCTAAAATATGTAAAAAGTATGTTATTTCAAGCAGACTTGTGATATGCGTATGCAAATTCATACAGTGCGGGAAAAAATATATAATAATTGTAAGATTAACTCAACATGCAAGAAATTTTATATTAATAAATTAAGGTAAAAAGTGATTTTATCATTAGCAATAATTGAGGCATATAACCAGTACAAAATCATTATTGGAGTAGCAAGAATATGACTGACAATCATATATAAATAACTATGAATCTACTATAAATAATAAGGATTAATGCTCCTAATTAGGAAGGGCATGATTATCCTCTAAGAAAAAACAGTTACTTACCTCGAGGCAGTAAAACACGATCCTTCTACGAATTCAATTGTTCAACCAGTGATCCTACATCATTTAGAGTATAAAAAATCTATAAATGATTATTTAATTAAACTTATTTAATCATTTGGTGCAACTTAATCAATATATTTATTATTATCATTATGTTGTCATTATATTATTATTATCATACTTTTTTTAAAATTAAGAAATTATGAACCTAATTAAATTTAACTTTAACTAACATTATTTAAAAAAAAATTGTTCTATTTTGATATGGGGAAATCTCATTTATGAAATAATGAGGGATTTACATATGTAACACTTAACCTAATAAACAGTAAATATGCGAAGAAATGAAGTTGTCATGGGAAACACGACATGTGAGGTTGTCATTTGATGCCCTAGCCCGAGCGTCGGTTGTCCCTAAATAGCCGTGAGGGTGGTAAATATGCAAATAAAATGAAGGCGACAACAATGAATCAAGATAAAAAAAAAAGAAAGACATAGCGAGAGTTTGAATTGAGAATGCGACGAAAAAAAAGGAAAGTGAAAATTTTTATTCTTACATAATGTGTGTTACAGGATATTATAAGTTTTTTTACATGTATGGGCTTACGACTCTACTATCCTCTGACTCGGACGACTGAACGTTGTGGGCCTTGGTTTTGCAAGGCCTTCTCATTCGAATGTGATTCATCGAGGTTGTTGGTCGGACTTTGAAGGTTTTTAGGGTGGCAAAATCGGCTAGATCGACTCGGCTTTGCCGATTGGTTATTCCAGTGAGATTATTGACCGTTCATCCCTGGATGATGAGTTTATGTCTGCAAAATGAGATTAGACTGTCGAGCAGAGCATGAATCACTGTAATCTGATAGGTTACTCATTTCTGGACAATAGGTTGGTTTGGGATATTCATGGGCTATGTTAATGACAATTCTTGGCGATGCGATGATAGGTAGGTCGATGCCCTTGCTCGATTAGATTTGACTTAGTCATTGGTTTGATAGGTCTACACCTAATCGACCTCAAGCCCCAATTCGGAGGGTTGCATCTGGTCAAGTGGACCCCCCTTAGTTATACTTTTTTGTTTGTTAAAATGTTGGATCTCCTTGAGATTTGTGCTGACATATATCTGATGCACATATATATATATCAAAGATTTGAGTGTTAAACTCATAAAAATTAAAATTTAGATGTTAGATGTATAAATAATATCAAAGATTTGAGCGTTATACTCATAAAAATGAAAATTTAGATGTTAGATGTATAAATATATAAAAATTGTGCGATGGGTATGAAAATTTATTAGCCCAAGGCAACAAAGTCAGTTCAAAGTTTCCCGGAATTTTTTTTTTAATATTCTTCCACGGCATCGCCAACCGGTCCTAAATTCACATCTCTCTCTCTCTCTCTCTCTCTCTCTCTCTCTCTCTCTCTCTCTGAAGAGGTTGACGATTGATCTTCATCCCCGCTTCATCCTCTCAATCGCGTGATCACGGATGGAAGCCTTCCGGAAGCTTAGGGATCAAGTCGCCAGGCAGCAACAGGTGGCCTCTTCTCCCCGTATCGATTCTGTACTTTCCCCGATTCGAAATCCTGAATTCATTCCGTTGCATTTGGGATCGGATTGGTTTTGATCCCAGATGTTGGGTTTAATCGCATGGGAAATCCCGTCATGTTCTTGAAGATTTTTACTTCTTTATCTGTATTTGGTTTAACTTAGTGCCTAACATATCCGGTTGATGGTAGTCATCATGATGGAAAGTGGAGGAAAGTGGTTGAAATTGGGAATTAAGGTTTGTTAATGGATCCGTGTTTGAATCGACTTTTCTGCTCTTTCTGGTTTAATTGTGGAATAAGGAGATTGGCGTTTTCAGGATTTTGATATTTTTTTGTAATTGAAGATGGATAAAATAAGCCAATCAAATGAAGTATATAGGTTGGAATTATTTAAATCTAAGCGTAGTTTTTTTTTTTTAATTAAAGCTGGTTCTCTAACGTGACAACTAGTGAAATCCATTTTGGAAGGATCGCAATTGTATACAGCTTCTCAGTCTAAAGCTGATATCTGCAAGTTCTTAAGCTGTTAATTTCTTACTAAATCAATTCTATTCGTTATTTCAACATTCTTCTGAAGCTCTCTTATACATCTGAAATGTTAATTCCTTGCAATGTTAATCTTCAAGCATTTATTTATATATTTATTTTTTGTTCTTTTAAAACATGGTATTTTTAGGTACATTAGAACTATGTTAAGTTTCTCACATGAAGAAAATTCTACACGGTTGAAATTTTAATGAGGTGATTGTTAATATGTAGGATTGTGAATTTCACTCAAAGATTGTGGATCTTTCAAAAGCAGAATCAGTTTTTGGCTGTAGATTGATCTTGGATTAAATAAACATATAATTAGCCCATTTTGGATTGAGTTTTAATTGAGTCCTGTCTGGATCAAATCAAGCTAGCTTGAGATCAGATTGGCTCGATATATGATTGTTCGCCAATTTTTAAAATACTTTTTTTTGCTTTTATGTGCTATTTGTGGTATCTCTCCACAATAAATCAAGTGTTCTCATGGCATTATTTTCTTAGTTTTTGTCCTACAAATTCACATGAATATATAATTGCTACTCTAGGCACATAAGTTTAAGTTTATAGATGCTGTTATTATACCGATGCCTTTGATATGTAATATAAATAAATTTTTGTAAATCTTATGGGTATTGTAATTTAAGCTTGCTTGTAGTATTTGAGTGCTGCTTGGAAATCATGAGATTCTTGATAATAATGTACATGATGTCATCATCTACCTGCCTTCATAGTATTTACAATTATCATTCTCTGATCGTGGCCCTGAAGAAAAGGAATTCAAAATACAATTACTTCTTTGATCAAACTTTGCAATGGAAACCTTGAGAACAAGATTTAGATTTTTCACATAGACCTAATGAAACATTCTTGTTCTCTGCTGAGCATTCAAGTAGGCTGTGCTAAAACAATTTGGAGGGGGTTCGTTTGGAAGTTCTGAAAATGTAAGTTTAGATGAGGCGGAGCTTCGGCAGCACAATCGAATCGAAAAGCTTTACACATCCACCCGCTCATGCAAGGTTGGTAATCCGCTTAAAGCAATGAAAATTTTAAAAGGTATGTTTGTAATTTGTGCTTTAATTTTCCAGCATTTCCAAAGGGATGTTGTTCGTGGTTTGGAAGGCTACATCGTTACAGGCTCGAAGCAAGTAGAAATTGGTATGTGAATAAAGATAAAGAATTCTATGTTATGAATTTTCGAGTTTATCTTATATAATCTTAATATCTTAGGTAACAAGATGGCGGAAGACAGTAGAAAGTATGGTACTGAAAATACCTGCACAAGTAGTAACTCATTAACTAAAGCTGCATTTAGCTTTTCTAGAGCACGCACACAAATGGTGAAGGAACATGAACATTTATTGAGAGTTCTTGGCACCCAGGTTTAGTTATATATTTTTCATGTTTTTCTATTTAAGCTTGCTTCTAGATTCTACGGAGTTATTGAAAAATATCAAAAAATATGAAATGCTTGAAAGATCCGCATCCAACAATATACCCAAGTATTGAGAGAAATTTTTAATTCTTTTTAAATTAGATACTGAATTTTATATGCTTATGGGCCTTTTATTTATAATGAAAAGGCTCCAAAATAATGACTTCGCAAAATCCTCCAAGATATTAACTAAATTTCACACATTTTTTTAGGATTTATGATACTGGAAAAAAGGTTAAGCATAAAATCTGCTCTTCATAAATTTCAGAAAAGAAGAAAAGCTTGACTGAAAATCTCAAGGAAGTGAGAATGCATTAACTAAAAGAAGAATGGTTGATCACCACTTGGGTGTCACTCCAGGATACTGATTACTTTAACCTGGAAATATATGGGAAAGTTATTATAACCAATCAAAAACTCTCTATCCCCCTTTTAACATACAAGGCAGCCTTATATAGGCAAGCCCTCAACAAAAATAGAAAATTAAGAAACAAAACTTAATTACAAGTATGACACCCTATTAAAAGTATAACAATTTCAGCTCTTGTGTCGTACTCCCGAAGTTGTCGAGAATTCTTCATGAGATGAAGTTTCGGACTCGGTTTCATAATCTGGAGTCAAATCAATGAGATTGAATGAGATCAACTTTATAATCGTTGTCATCAATACGCTTCACAATTCGGAGAGGTCTATGAGCTTTGGCCTTGAGCTTCCCATGTCTTCTCAGAGGAAAACTCTATTTCCTGTCGAATCCATACTCTCTCAAATCTTTGAAACTGATCGCCCTTCTACTCTTGTTTGCTTGTTGTCGATTTACTTCACTTTGTCTAATGATATTCTCATGAGTCAATTTATGTAGCTTTTGAATTTTATGTAGTTGAAGATTAGTCCGGGGATGATATGTGGTGCTTCTCTTAAGGACTGTCTCTTGCAACCCAAATAGCTTTTTCCAAAAGTGGCTAAGGAACACCTTATCCCAATCCTAAACAATCGATTTTGGTACTCTGTGCAAATAGACAACCTTTCAGATAAATACCGCTGAGACTGAGACCGCAATGTAGGGATGCCACAAGGGAATGAAATGTGCATACTTACTCAGGAGATCCATGACCACCATGATCACGTGAACCCTTATGATCGGTATTGAATCTTAAAATCATACCTTAGTAGCTTGGATAGTCATCTTTGATGCTCTTCAGTCACCATCGGTTGCTTCAAAAGATACTTTAAACTCCTTTGATTTGTTCTAACCAGAAAATGTCATCCCAACATGTAGGGTCGCCACTTTTGAATGATCAAGATAATCCCCATCTTCTCGTTCATATACTGATTTTAGCCTCGCTGTAGCCGTATGAATCTAGTTGAAGTAGGTTATCGACAACTGATCCTGCATGAGCACTGCTTCCAATCCATACCCTGACACTTCTGTTTCTATCACAAATGGTTTACTGAAGTCTGGAAGTGCTAATATCTGGATGTTGGTCATGGCCTTTTTCTGCTATTCAAATATCTATGTTGTTGCTCCCCCCATTTGAAATTTTCTTTCTTCAACTATTTTGTCATTGATCATGCTATTATGACATATCCTCTTACGAACTTCCGATAGTAGCCAGTGAGACCCAGGAATCCTCTCAACTCCTTAAACTCCCTTGGTAAGGGTCAATCAACCATAGCCTCGATCTTATACTGATCCACTGCTACCCTCGTTCTGGTCACCACATGTCCGAGGTAATCTACCTACAACTGTATGGTCTGACACTGATAGGGAAAACACCCTCCCTCTTTTAATGTAATAGCATGCTCATGCTCCCTTAGGTGAGGTAATTCACTTTGTTGTTGGAAAGTGTTTGCAAACTATTGTAGGAGCTATTGGACCCCTTCAAGAAACTCTACCAACTCTGAATCTTGAACCCTCTCAATGCTCTGCAACTCCACTAAGTAGCTCAACCTTGATTCTCGAATTGACTTGACTATGGTTTTGAGCGACACCATAGTTTTGCTTAGACTAGCATCTCCTTTTAGCATCATCTTCCTACCCTCCACTTGTAATTCCACATCCAGGGACTTCCAAATCACCTTCATCTCCCCAAGCGTTTGTAGTCACTTCATCCCCAAAATTACATATGCGCAACCCAAATCTAAGGGTAGGAAGTCCTCCATCACTTGTAGGCTATGTAGTGTGAGCACCAACTCCTTGCGAATTCCCTTACTTTTTTTCACCTTCTTAGTACCCATCATGACGCCAAAGCTCCCTGTAGTCATCAGCTTCAACCCTAGCTTCTCCGCAAACTGATTTGAGCTAAAGTTATGTGTGGCCCCGCTATCTATCAACATCACAATCGGTTGTTCCTTGGTCTACTCCCTAACCTTCATGGTGTGTTTCAGAGTAAATTCCACAACCGAATTGAGGTCACCTCAGCCACATCCAAATGCAAATGCTCCTTTACCGCATCCTCCTCTGATTCCCCATTCTTTGTATCCTCCTCCTAAACTAAAAGAATCTAAAGGGCGCACTCCTTACAACAGTGGCCTGGGGCATATTTCTCATCACAACGATAACGGTAACACAATCCTTTTGCAATTTTATTCTACACTTATCCATTTGTGAGGCGCTTGAAATTACCCTCGGGATGTGTTCCTGTATTCTTCTCCTTTATCGTTTCTTTCTGAAATGACACAGCTTGGGTGTCCTTAGTGTCATGACTATCAAGGTGCTCTTGTATAATCCTTCGGTGTTACCACATTTGCTAGTCTTTTTCACCTATTTTTTATCCTCCATCATCTGAGCGAGCTCCATCATTTACCTCAATCCTCGTGGTTTGAAGGAGTGGATGGTTGCTCATATGTCGGGCTTTAGGCCTTTCAAGAAGCTCTCTTCCAGCCCTGTTGCAGAAATCTTCTCAACCTCTCTGACAAGTGCTCGAACTTCTCCTGATATTCCGTAACCGTCCCCTCCTAAGTCAGAGCATAGAATTGCTCGTGTATGTCTCATTCCCAAATGGCTTGGAAATGCTTCAAGAAGCAATCCTTAAACTCTTTCCATGAGGCATCGTATACCTTGCTTCCTTCTAGTGAAACCACGCTAATGTCTTTCCCTCCAAGCATAATCCCGCTGTCAATGAGCTTCTCTTCCTCAGTTAACCCATTGATTGCAAAGTATCGCACCACCCAATACACCCACCCATGTGCATCCTCCTTTTCGAAGATTGGCATCTTCAGTTTTCTAACCCTTGCATCTTTACCCCAACCTCCTCTTCTTCCGGCATTTCCCCTCGTGTATCTAGGGTGGAACTCCCTTCTACGGTCATAGACATATCCTAATCCTTATTCCCTCCTTCCTCCATAGTGTTTTTTTGTGCCTTTTACACCATCCCTCCAACTTTCAGCCCATCACCCTCAATCGGAAGTCTTCAGTTCCCCTCCTCTCGGAGTCCTGGGGGGGACGCTCTTGTTCATAGATGATGTCTTCTTCGTTGTCTTCTTCCTTGATCTCTTTCATTTCTGACTTGGCTAAGGATTCTTTGATCAAACCTTTGTTAGGGTTTGCAACTGGAGTGATCAACACGGCCTTGGATTGCATCTCCATGAACTTGTTCATCATCTCTTGCATTTTTTATATACTCTCAAATCCATTCTTCTTATGACTTTCAATGAAAGAAAACATGTCATCTATGGTGGCAACCCTCTCTTCCATTCCTGATCTTATCTCTTCTTCTAGCACATCCACTTTCTTTTGTTGCTATCCCGCCAAGATCTAGGCTCTAATACCAATTTGATATGCTCTGGAACCAAAACTCAGCAAACAACATGATGAAACGACAATAGATAAATAGAAAACTCAAATGGAGGTTGCTCTTACGAAAAACAAATGAAAACAAGCAAGATACAATTGTGATCTACATTTCTAGAGGTGGGTTGGCTCTTTCACAACCCTAGTTTTCGCTAGGAACATCACAAGAAAAACACAGCAGATAACGAATAAAACAGACAAACACTAGGTTCTTCCTCATAATGGAATCCTCCCACAACATTTCAAACTTTTCTTTTCAACCTTCACTCCAAACTTTTTTATTGTTTCCTTCTTGAGTATGTGATTAAGCATTTGTGGACCCCACCTGCACCCAGCTTCCTTCTGCTGCGGCAAATTGCCACTCGGCTTTTTCTCACGAATAAGACCGGTCGGCCTGCTTCTTCTGCAGGTCGGTTGGGTGGCTTTCAACCGGTCCCTCCTAGATCATTCTTGTTACAGGCGTAACAAAGTCACAGTGACACAACCATATAATTAAAAAGAGAAACAGTAAACCACCATCACAGAGGAAAATAGAAAAGCCTCAAGGCATGACATCATAAGCATAACGAGAAACATCAAACCATCACCAAAGAGGAAAACAGAAAAGCCCCAAAGCACAACCACATAAGTAAAATGAGAAGCACCAAACAACCACGACAGAAGACAACTGAGAAGCCCCAATGACACTACCACATAGGTTAAAGGAGAAGCACCAAACCACTACCACAAAGGAAAACTGAGAAGTCCCAAGGCACAATCACATAGGTAAAACAAGAAACAACAAACCACCACCATAGAGGAAAACACGGAAGGAGGTTATGGTTAGATATACATACAAAAAGAGACGCAGCGAATGCAAAGAGCAGAAGAGGACTGCAAATGTGCCCTAACATTACTTGCCCACAGCGAAGCCGAAGGGAGGGAGAAGAGGGTATTTTAATATCTAGGATAAAACGAGGCAATTACGGAATTCATGAGAGACAAGATGGTAATTACGAATCCAGACTGCGATTAGAATCACGAAACCGAGCTCAGCACTGCCATTCGCAGAATCCCCATTTCCAAAATGAGATTATCATAAAAGCATGGGAAATGTTGGCTCCCGAACATCTGTTAACAGTTTTTCAAAACAAAAAACACTTATAAAGTGTTCGCAAACGCACCTTTAGTCCATGTTGCAGTAGTCACGAAACATGAAATAGATGGTGTACCTACAAAAATTCAATCCTGCTATCAAATAAAAGAGGGGCACACATCTTAAAATGTCATATATGCTTTAGTGGGATCAGTTATGTGTAACAAAATGTGAGGTTAGAATGACTTTTTACAAGCATTATTTGAAACAAGAATTTCACGTTGAAATCAGGGCTTCTGCGCTGAGTTGAAATACTTAGGTTATATAAGAAATATACATCTTTGCCAGATATATTATTATTTTATTTAATCTATATCTACCCCTTGTGTTAGCATGTCTCATCAAATTTTCTCTGTACCATCTTTGCCAGATAAATTAAGTTTTTATCTAATATATATCCAACCGTTCTGATAGCTTGTCTCGTCAAAATTTCTCTTTACTTTTTTCCGAATTTATTCCATCATTTAATTGTCGCTCCATAGACCTGATTTTTCAGTTAAATAATTTGAGATGAGAAGATTCCATGATGATTAATGAATTTAGTTTCCGAGTAGAACTTGCACTTTACTGGAGTTGAATTTTTAGCTTCTTGCATATTTTTTGAAAGTAAAAAGTAGAAAAGTGTCAAAATAGTTTGTAGGGAGCCATTTTAGTCCCCAGACTCTTTTAATAGAGGGAAAGTAGAAAAGTGTCAAAATAGTCCTCTGACTTTTTATAAGGAGCCATTTTAGTCCCCAGACTCTTTTAATAGAGGCTGAAATAGTCACCCTTGGGGATTGATTTCAGCCCATATTAAAAATATATGGAGACTTATTTGACGTTTTATAAACTCTAGGACTAATATGACCTTATATAAGTTGTCAGGACACTATTTTGACTCTTTGCTCTCTTTAGAAGTGACAAGCTTTTGGTGGAATTCACCTAAATGATTAGTCGGTTGTGTTTGACTAGAACATTCTTTTAAGTGTAGTTGGCTTTTTGTCCATGGTACATACTTTAATATGGGTGTTGAGTTCTCATACTTACCGAGCTATTCTGGTTTCATTTCTGATGCACTATGAAAATTACCAGTCCGCTCACAATTATTTTATTGTTGTAAGGTCTTCTGATCTAAAACAAATATATATCTTAGTTGCTTCGTTTACCCTTTGTCACATTTCAGTTTGAGCTTTATTGTCTTATTTAATTATTTATAATAAAATTATTTCATTCCCAGGTTGCTGAACCTTTAAGAGCATTGATACTGGGTGCTCCTTTGGAGGATGCTCGACATCTTGCTCAGCGCTATGGCAGACTGCATCAAGAGGCTGAAGCTCAGGTATAAATGTAATATTTTTAGAACTACATTATAATTTGATGTGAAATTAGAGTTTCTTGGCCCGCCTCCGTAAATATCTCATCATTGGTAAGTTTTTTGGAGAACATTTATCTTAAGAGTTGTTCCTGTTATGTAAGGATTTTCTTTGTTGAATTATGTTGGAATTTGTTTGTGCTAACATATGCACTGCATGATTGTGTTTGAAATATTTATTTTTGAATTGTTATAATAAATTAGGTTGTTTCTTTATAAGTAATTTGGAGATTTTACAGTATTTTCTTGCTTTCATAATTTTTCCATTCAAGTGATTTGGGTGGTAAAACTATACAATCATAATGAAATCTGCAGTCACGACAATTGATAATATAAAATTTCAGCTGTGTTCCATACATTTTTTTGTCGGAGATATAAATTAGGTCTCGCTTAAATTCTAACATTAACATTTACTTGATTGATATATTTGATTCCCAGTAATTCACTTCCCAGCTGGAAACTTGCATTCATTTGTTTGAATGCCATGTATGTAAATATGAAAATTCAGGTGTGAGACATGTAAATACATAAGAATTGTTTGCTACATGTGTAAATTCCCCTTTTAAATTTCTTACAGGCAGTTGAAGTTTCAAAACGTAGGGCAAGAGCGAAGGAAGTACCTGGAAATATTGATAATATTGCAAAGTTGGAAGCTGCTGAAACTAAACTAGATGATTTGAAATCAAACATGAAAGTCCTTGGCAAGGAAGCAGCATCAGCAATGCTTACTGTTGAAGTTCAACAACAGAAGCAAACATTACAGAGGATCATTGCAATGGTATTGTATTCCCTCACTTAATTAAATAAACTAAGAGCTCGTTTGGGATCACTTTTAATTTGAATTTTGATTTTTATATATTTTTTTTGGTTTTGTTTATGTTTTTTTAAATATGTTCTAAAATGTTCAAATGTTTTTAAAATAATCAAAATAAATTTTAGATGGTTCTGAGTGTTTTAAAAAACTTGGTTGGTTTATTTTTTAAAATAAAAAATAAAAATATGCAAAAACTGTATTAAAAAGAATGCTTTTTAAAATAAAACACAAAAAACAAAAACAAAAAAATAAAAAACAAAAATCAAAAGTGATCCAAAACAAGTCCTAAATTCTCAAATATTACGGATTCTTTTGCTCTGTCATCACTGAAGGTTGAAGCGGAACGCATTTACCATCAAAGGATAGTACAAATCCTTGAGCAGCTTGAAGGAGAGGTGAGTGTCGCTGTTATAGTTTGCTCATTTTATTTTTTTTATTTTTTCACAATTTTAAATGAGCCGAACATAAATTATTCACAAATAACGAGCTTTTTAGACAGCCCTACCTCCAATTCAGGAATGACAGTTTCATTTATATTTCAATGAATAATTTTTATAACACAAGTACCATATAAACCCCCTGTTGATCACATGAGGTTTCGGTTGTCAGATGGTGCTTGAACGCCAGAGAGTAGAAGCATCGCCAAATCTGGCATCACCAAGTCGAGTATCACCAGCTCCAGTCATAGAAAACCAAATGCCGCCGCCTCCTTCATATGAAGAAGTCAATGGCATCCCTTCTTCAGGTGCCATTGATGGAACATCTGATTCCATTGAGTTTTTCTTGGGAGAGGTGACTCATTTAAATTTATCTTATTTTGTAATTGGGAAACTTACATATATAGCACACAATTTTTATGTATTTACCTATCTCACACCTAAACTTTCATTTTTACATATATAACACTTCAGTACTTTAAGAAGTGCTAGTAATGTTATTTCTTATCTGATATTAAAATTTGAGTGCTATGTGTGTAAACATGAAAGTTTAGATATGTAAATATATAATAATTGTTCGCTATGCATGTAAATGCCTCCTTGTAATTTTCTTAGAAGATTTACATTTTTTTTTTCTTTTTTTTTTTTTTTTTGAAAGATTTGTAAGCATACCACTCAATTCCCATGTATTTACATGTCTAATACCTAAACTTCAATTTTTACATGCAAACCCCCTTACTTATGCATTTAGATTTCACTTTTTAAGAGTTAAAATGGTGGTATTTTTGTTGTGATCTAAAAGTTTTGGGTAGCATAAATGTAAAAAAGCAAAGTTTAGGCGTTAGAAATGTAAATACATAGGAATTGTGTGGTATGTATGTAAATGCTCCTTTTTTTTTTTCAGGCAATTTTAGACACCTAGCATAAGGCCATGCATTCATTTCGGGCTGAGTCAGATGTGGAGCTTAGTTTGTCAGCCGGGGACTGCATTGTTGTCAGAAAGGTATCTTGTTGCTCATTGCTTATGCTGTTATACTGTTTTAAAATGGCGTCATTTTTTTCCTGTTGTTTTTTTTTTGCTTATGTTATCATAGATTTTGGCATAATATACTTGTTGCTTTTATTGACTCTTTTGTTCGAGGAAAAAACCAACTTTGTCAGATTCATAAAAATATGGTCCAGAATGGGATAATCATTTTTATATTAGACTTAAAAAGTTGTATTACTTGCTTGCCACACAATTTTTATATATTTACATACCTATAGGGGTGTAAACTAGGCTCGCTCGTGTCGGCTCTTTTATATTTTGAGCTCATAAAGTGTGTTCGTGTTCGGCTCCTTTTGTTAAAGAGTCGGACACGAGCCGT